AATATGAACTTAGTAGTAGTAATAATAATGTGAAAAATTGAATAGCTTCACTTCATGACAGTGCTGGAATTATTGGCAGGAAAGTGTGATAAACACCACCAAAGTAAAATCTGCCATTTTAGTTCATTTTGACCACATGCAGCCACTAGAATTATTAAAAATTTGTCAATTATAAATTTTAGTAAATTGCCAAATGTAACTCCAATCAATACTTCTGAATGTACAGTATTTAACTTACTGTATATATGATTCATTGTAGAATAAGGAGTTATATGAAGCTGCTAAAAGAGGTGATTCTACTGGTGTCCAGTCTGCACTGTCTCAAGGAGCTAATGTAAACTATCAAAATCCCGAAGAGGTAACTACTGCAGTATATGCATACATGTACATGTACAGCATGTTGTTATGTTGATAGCCTGCTGCCCTTGGACATGGATCAGGTACATGTATGTACATATATTTTTTGTGACTTCATTTCATAATCCACTTGGTACAGTGTAGTCGATGTACATGGACTGTAGTACATAGTGCACATGTACATGCATAATAACATTGATCACTGTAGAAATAATATATTAAAGAGTTAAAATTGGCAGATTGTTCTTTGAGAAACTGCCATTATAAAATTTATCAGTTTGCAATTTTTTATCCTGCCAAAATTTTCAGTTTTACTAAAAGTACAATGTTTTTGTAATAGACTAACATGTACAAATGTTTCCTTGTATTTCTTATAGTTTGGAGCTACTTCTCTTCATGTTGCTGCAGGAGGAGGATATCATGATGTGGTACAAATTTTATTGTCTGCAAGAGCTAAAACTTACCTTAGAGATACAGTGAGTATATTACTTCTTTTAACAAAATGTTATCACTTATGAACTATCATTCTAATGTAATGAGGCTGGTTGCCTCCACTTGTATTTAGCAAGTTCTTGACTGCCACACGAGTGCCCAAGAAGAGAAATAGACTTTTAACAAACGAATCTTTAGGGAAATAAACTCTCTCTCTCTCTCTTATTCCATTCTAGTCATGCACATGGTCTCTCTCTTGGACCACACCTCTACATAAATAAATACCCTATATGTGAAAAATTTTGAGGAGATGAATTTTCATGAATTTTGCAAAACGGGCTTCATTTGCAAATTAAAACATGCAAAAATTAATTTTAACTCTCCAAATTATTACAAAAATGGTGCCACTTCAAAACAATTCGTGAAAATTTGGCTTTGCAAAATTCTGCAAATTCATCATTTGCAAAAATTTATCCCCTCGAAAATTTCCACGTATAGAGTAATCAAAATAATAATTGATGCATACTATATTTTTAGATACATGCAGTATAATAATAATAATAAACTTGATGTAAATGTACATGTAGGTGTTCATGCATGAGAAATAGAAGCTTGAACCTCTAAAATTATATACATGTATATAGTAGTCTCTCTGTTAGCCATATCAGTTGAATATTGACAAAAATAGTTATACCAAGATTTTAGAAATGAAAAGTTAATTAGCTGTTTCACAAAGTTTTGTGAACCACTTCTGGAAGTGCTTCACAAAAGCTTTGTGAAACAGTTAATTAACTTTTGACTTCCGTGCTGCTTACTGAACATTATATGCCTCATGTAATTACAAAGTCTCATTCATACAAATTTTCTAATGTTTTCTAATGTTGCTGTTGCTTCCCATAAATATAGTTTAGATAGTATGATGAATGTAAATACTGTATATGCACCATATATTTTGTGGGTGTAAAGTTTCACGATTTAGCTGCATTTTTGTATTTGCAAATTAATTTTTTTGCGATTTTAATGTAATTACCACACCTACTATAATCAACACACTATTTTGCAGATTTTATTTTTGCAAATTTTTCTAAAATGCAAAAATTACACAATTTGATTCCCATGAATTATATGGCATATACAGTATTTCAATTCAGTTTCACTATCAAAATTATCCTTTTGGGAGGCAACAGCAACATTAGAAACCAATCTAATAAATCTATCCTTATCTCATTATTATAGGATGGAGATACTGCTCTTATTAAAGCAGCAAGAAAAGGAAACTGTGATGTTGTAGAATTGCTGCTGAAGAAAGGAGTTCGTCTTTTACCTTTGAACAATGTAAGTTATTTTAATTGCAGTATTAAATTTTATTTTAGAAATAAAATTGTGTATGTATTGTACATACACACTTTACACAGTGTACATACACATGTACATACACAGTGTACATATGCATGTACAACATGTGTACATACCATGTTGTAGGTTAGTCAGGCGTGACCCTTGCGAAAACAGAGGGTCAGGAACCTCGTATATACCAGACTTGTTAGCTGCTGCAGAAATTCTGCAGTGACGCATTGTGACTTGCTATGACTATATAACTTTAATAATCATTAATATTAATTGAAAATGGATGTTGGTGCTCTAGCTAGTCTTCTTGGTATCCTTTCTCTGCATTTGCATATTCTTCCAGATACTATAAATTCATCAGAGCAGTTATAGACCAGTTGGCGCTAAGCATATTCATAGAATTTTGAGTATATTCATTGTGATACGTAAATAAAGTAAAATTTTCCTGCCGCCATTTTGGAGTCTTAGTTACTAAGAGTAGAATGGGAGAAACTAATATCTTTGCTTCTATATCTTCTAGTGGCACTTATTAAAGTCCATGAGCCAACTATAGACACTGGATAA